TTAAAAAAAATTATGTATCTAGTGAAGGCGTTTGACTTCTTCATGGCTTGGAAATTGAGCTTAGGTTTACAGACTCTTAGGCAATAGATTAGGTGATACTGGCTTCAAGCAATCAATTAACTGAAAGATACTTAGGTATCAGATCATAGCTTTAGAAACATCTATCTTATAGTTACCTCCTTGAAGATGTTTCAGTAATGCTGATATTTATTCCACTTTTATTTTGTAAAGATTTATGTGAGGGTGAAATGGGTGATTTCTATACTGAGGTGCGTGAAAATGAAATGCTTTAAAAAATAGATTTATTTGAAATTGTAGCAAAAATGCAACAATATTCTGCAAGAGAAAATGAGATAAAAGGAGGGACAGAAGCATTTGAATACTCTAATTTTGAAATCAAATAGTAAGGCAACATAAATTTTTATAGTCTCTTTCAGTCCACAAAACCCAGCCAAAAGCAGAGATTTATTTTTTTAAATCTGGAAAAGTAATAAAATATGGATAAAACAGCCTGGGAGAAGGGATTTAGCAGAGGTAAAGTCACTAAGACTAACTGAAAATGTGACTGCTTTTTTCAGTAGAAGACACAACAGCTCCTTCACTGCACAGGAAAATGAGAGCTTGGACTGCAGTGACAAATCCAAGGCCAAAAAGAAAGACTGGGGATTTAGGCCATTCACCTGGGACAGATGAAAATATTTGAATCTAGATCTCCTAAATCTCAGCAAGTACTATTTTGTAGATTCTGAAGTCACTTTCCTCCTCCAATGAATGTTTAAGTATTTAAAGTAGAACAACTTAAGAGAAAAATAGGGAAAATTAATCTCCAAATAACCTGTCATCTGAGAAATTATATTTTGAGTTACTAGTTTTAAGCAAAGCAGAAAGCTGAGTCTGGAGAAGTTTGAAATGCTAAAAATGCATATTGGAGAAGGAAACAGTTTCTCATATGTGCCTTTATAACAGGGCTTCACAATTCACACCGTCTTTCTTCAGCTTCCCCCAGAGGTTTCTCATTATACAGTACGAGTCTGTCATGTCAGACTTGTCTCTAGTTCTATAATTTCCGAAATAGATTAAATGAAGGGAAGCTTGAGCCCAGCATCCTTAAAAGATGGCTCACCATATGACAAACTTCAAATATTTTCTTCATACAATGTAAATAGTACTATGCTTCTGGTGATCTACAGTCCAGATTAATTTTGACAATAGATACTTCCTAAATAATTTATTTTTTGCTAATTTTCACTTAAATATTTTAGGTTTTTTATTTGTTTAAAAAACTGCTATGACTTTTTATCCAAAGCCTTGTCTGGTTGCTGCTCTTTAGATTTGGTTCTGCTCATCTTTTCCTCTTCTCTCTCTTTTCCTGAAGAAATGCCAATGGAGTAAGCAATGTGGTAGTGAATTGCTTTAACACTTGCACCTCTAAATAACATCGAGAATGAAATGTGTCCATGATAACCAGGATGCACTTATAATACTTTCCATTCTTCATCTTTTTAATCTATGCAAAAAGTATAGGTATTACAAAATCTGTGCAATATTTTTCTTTGAAATAACCATGGGCTAACAAATTACCAAGGTAACTGTAGTTTGTCCTGGGTATTTGTACATAAGGAAGTTTTTAATTGGAATAGTGCTATTGACAGTTTGTTTCACTGTAAATCAAAGAATAATGTTTAGAAAATACACAGTGGTGTTTAATGTAATTACTTGAATATTTTACTTTTCCTGTGCCTCTGCGTGTTGGCCTGATCTTCCCATTCTGGCATGTAGTTCTGTTGCAGTGTGCTTCCTAGTACAACAATTAAGAAGAGGAAAGATTATTGAAATATGTATTTCTGTAATTTTTTTTAAAGTTTTGGCATGTTTCAGTTATTAAAATTTGGAATTTATAATTGTACAACAATACTACAAAAAGTAAATTTTTATAACCATGTTAAAACATCTGCTGTAATTGCTTTAAAAATAGGACAGAGGTATTTCATTTGTAGAGTATTGACTTAGTGTTCCATTTTAGGGTTGGTTGGATTGTATAAAGATAAAATCTTGCTCAAGAGTCTATATACACACATATGCACACTCTAGTGTTTGGATTAAATATGTTCTTGTACACCTGTGAATACATAAACTTACATTATAGATAAATACACTCATACCCACAAAAGAGTAAACAAAAAATATATAGAATACTTACTGTGAGTAGTTCATCTTGCTTATACCAGTGCAGAATTTGGGTGAGCATCTGCTATCTGTATACGCTTAATTTTATTGTATTGTATATCCCAGACTGAAAAGTATTTATTAATTTATGTTATAACAGATCCCAACACATTGTAATCTGTTGTGCAACATAGTTCTGCTTTTTTAAGAATTAGACTTCTAAATTTGTGTATAGTTAAATCTATAAGGCTATACAGAAAATTAATCTGAAGAATGTTGTTAAGTATTAAAGTTCAAAAGTTGAAAAGCAACAGTCATCGTTAATAATTTTTGGTAAGTGGTTTTGGGGGCAGGTGGCTATTTTCTTTTTCAGTTACACTTGGCATTTCCGTGCTGAGAAATTTTTGTTGTTGTTCTTGTTTTTTCTCAAGAAACGTCACTTCCAACAGTAACATGAAAAGGCCGAGAGAAAGCATATTAACCAGGATTCTTTTCTCCTTTAACAACAAATTTTTTTCCCCCTATAGTATACTGTATTCTTGCATGCCATTTTGAAGGATATGCAAGCTGAGGAACATGTAGAAAGATGTCTTTTCTTCATTTGCATATCAGTTTTGTTCTGACCTTATTCTCACCTCATGTTTTCCACAAATAAGAATGGAAGTAGCCTTACATGCTGATTCTCCCTACGTTGCTAGACATAAAAAGAGCTTTTGGAAGTACAGTACAGTACAGTACAGCATTCACTGTCCTATTATCCCCACGGTGGGCTACAAACGGACTAGCTCTAAAGCCTTCCCAGGTAGTAAGATCATCACTGAAACAGAACGACAAGTGGTTTATAATCTCCTTTGCATTGAATCCTGATATTACCACTAGTATATCAAGTGGTGTTATTTTAGCAATGTGGTGGTCTGTACTGTGCATGTACATTAGAGAAATGTTAACTCTGCTCTTATAAAATGTTTCAGTGGTGTAATTTATTTTTCATATATTAAATTCTAGAACGCAGATTGGATGAATTGGGTTTTTTCCCTTCGAAGAGGCAACTGTTTCACTGCAAAGGAATAAAGATTGTGTCGTTGTAAAATAGGATGAACTTAAGCAACTGAGTAGGATGTTTTTTCTTTTATTCACATAATAAGGATTATTTTAGAGTGTTGCAGAAATGGCTGAGAGTTAATCAAAGCTATTTTGTATGTATGCTATCAGAAATATGGTTTAGTAATTCCAATTACCCCTGTAATGATATATTGGCCACAATAAATATCAAAATGATAAATTTTAGCTGGCTATATTTGACATTCAAATGTAGATGTTAAGTCTTTACTCAAACTTATTTACTATTATTGTATATAAGATATCAACAGGATACAAACAAGACTTGAAAAATATAGAAGTGATTGGTGTGGGCCTGCCATGGCAGATTGGCTGCAGTCTGAGCTTTAATTTGAAAATTAATGATGGAAGTGAATGCAACTCATTGGGAGTTACAAATACTTCGTCCTTCTCAACTTTAAAATCTACATTTTGACACTGAAATACCAGAGAGATCTAAAGTTAAATTTCATGTTGAGAGATGTAAACCACTGTTGTCAGATCTAAGATTTTTAATAGGAAATTTAACTCTGTGTTGTTCAGTCAGTATAGGTGAGTAGTCTTCTGTGGCTTATTGACAGTTAATGCAAGGCTTGCTTTTAATTTTCCTTTTCTATATGCCAGTGAAAAGACAAGACTCTATGGAGTGTATTTTTTAGATACATGTGTGTGTGTGTTTATAAATTTATATCCCACTAATATTCTCATTTGTCAATTTTATCACTCAGTGTGCCAGGAATCCACCTGTACATATAATAATGTAAAATCCTCAATTTTCTCAATGAAATGGAAGGAAATAAAACATTAATATTAGTAAAATTATAAGATTTTTTTTTTTTTTAACCTTGCCTACAACAGCAACTGAATCCTGCTTTGGCTTGGAGTGTGATCTTTGCTAACAACTCGTGTGAAGGAAGAGACATGATTATGACTTTCTTCTCCTGTAGACCCAGCTGTGACAGCAGCAAAACAAAAGTCAATATTAAAAGCTGACACGCTGTTCAAGCACATATGTAATGTTTTAAGAGAACTCTGGGAAGATTACTGATAGCCAGGGCTACTTGTACTTCATCATTCCATAGCTACATAATTCACTATTCAAATTAATCTTTTGTCTCAGTTGCATGCTTTGTAACGCAGGCTTTCTTTTCTTGTCCTGACTCTGAATATGTGAGCTGAATGTGTACTTCTGAAGAGCTTTTTCCAGAGTTTTCAGACAGTCTAAGTGCTGAGCTTTGAACTGTCCTATTAGTTTCAATTTTAACAAGAAGTTAAAATGACAGTTTAACTTCTAATACTGCCACTTTCGAATGCCTGAGCAGTTGAATGGCTATTTCTACTTAACCACATAATGTAATGCCTGATGAATTGTGCTTCTGCGACTAAATGAAAAAAAAAAAGAGAACGTTTATAGTTTTGCAAGTTGAGATTTCATTAAACGTGTTTTAATTTCTATGAACAATTTGCATGCAGGGGTTGGGAACATTTTCTTTGTATGTAAAAACATTTCACACTTGTCTAGGTGCATTATGGGATGTTTACTGTCCTTTGAAGCATGTTGTAGGGCTGCTGGTAATGTAACCGTGGTCTGATCTCTTATGATAACTTTGTTTTGGGAATGCAGTAATATTTACATAACAGGAGTCCTGAATCTTAGCAATGTATTTATCTCTTGGTACTTGATATTAATGTTATCTTCCTTTTTTATTTTGCTTTTTCTTCTTCCACAATTGTAGGTAATTTTCAGGTGGTGGAAAATCTCACTTAGGAATGAACTTCGTGAATCAAGACCTGGAGAAATTAAAGAATCCCAGGAGGATTTTTTGGATGATTCATCTCTTCATAGTAAGATGACAATAATAATTACAAATTTTCTGTGGCATGTAATGGAATAATCTAGCAATATTGATCTGCAGTAACTTTCATGAAAGATGTGATTGCTTTGGCTAACAGGCTTTTTTGTATTAATTTATTAATATAAATTAATGTATGAATACTGGAAAAACAAAAAGGCATGACAGTAAATGTTAATATAGGATAAATCTCAGGAACGTTGATAGTTTCATTATAAGACAATGACAGAGGTATTAACAACAAAAATAGGCCAGAAAGCAATATTTTTATTGCTAATGACTCAGTCCTTATAATGCTCTGTGCCAGCACATTTGTTTTTATGGCCATGTCGTGAGCCACCTGGATTCCCAATCTGATTTAACATAAGTAACACCAAGAGCAACATGTACTTGGGATTATGCAAGTGCAACATGACTTTAGGAGCATACAGCCAGAAAAAGAAAGGCAGTGGGGACACCACTAAATAAGCCTCAAAATGTAGATTTATAGAGTTGTTTTCCAGCCTGTTCCTGATAGACTGAGGACATCTGAAATAATTACGCTTTTTTGCAAACTTCTGTGGCACTATGTGTGCCAAGTAGTTATTGCTCTGCATCTTTTTATAATCTTGGTTCTCAGTAATGGATTAGATTTAAGAGATGTCATGTCACAAGATATGGTTGGTCATGGCTCACAGAGGAAACAGTCTCCTGGAAATATTAAGCCAAAGACACATTAATTCAGTAACTGCAGCAAATAGCTGAGGTCTGAGCTATGAGCTGGTCTGAAAATGGAGAACTTCATAACTGCACCTGCTGAGACTGGATTGAGATCTGGGCCTTTCGTAGCCCCAGACACTAGGTAGCACTCAAACACCTTGCATTAGTGAGATTTTTTTTTTTAAATAAGCTGCTCTTGTATTCAGATTATGTACAGACATAAAAAAATTTAGTTACAGATGTGACTTCATATTTATCCTATTTTTATGATGAACTCAAAAGATGTCATTTCCAAAGGAAGTCCTGTTTTCCTCATCAACAGCTTTAGTAGACATCATCTTATTTACACCTAGGCAGAGGAGGTCTGCTTTCCAAAGAAGTATGTGAACCTCAGGTGACAGGGGAGAGGGCAAAACTTTCCTCAAGAGAATATACCTGTTTTCAAGAGTAAACTTGAGTGTATCTTCATTTAGGGTCTGAAATAAGATCAACACATGTTTCCTATTCTTTGCTTATTAAAATCTAACACTTCCTACAGCACAATCAAGAGAGTTTTAGCCCTGGTGAGTTCACATGGCCTGCATTTCTGTGTTTAGGTTTGTGTTTCTGATCCCCATTATAACTTTCGCAACTGACCAATTTCAAGTGAATTTGACTGAAATAATAACACTTCCTTAGGCAGCTGGGTAGGGAGACTGCAGGTGACTGCTGTTAGTGCTCCATTGGTGGAAGGACTGCACATGCTGAGCTCAAGTGACTGGATATATGTACAAACCATGGAAAAAGTTTCAATCAGCACTCACAGTCTGTAACAAAACAGATCTTTAATTCCAGTTATTACTACTTGTTTTGACTAGAAGGGGAATGAATGTATCAGGAACCAATAGAAAATGGACTGCCTGTTGAATTTGGCTACTGGTCAGGGCGTCTTTAAATATACTATGCTTTTTTGCAGTAGGTGTTTACAATCGCTCCATTAGTTGAGGCAAAGAGTTGCACCACATTTTAATTTTACAAAATTGATCATCAGTTTTTATAAACTTGAGCTTTCAAAGAAGTAGTCGTCTAAACTTTTTTTGCCAAGAATTACATAGAATTTAGAGCTGAATTTTTAGCAATGGGTTTTAGTGGTTTTATTTTCAAAATTGTATTTTAATTTATTTTTTTATTTACCTCATAAAAGTAGATTTTATATCTGAATACATATTGCTGAGGATTTTAGCTTAGTTTTGCCATCATTGCTTATACTGTAAGATTTTCCTGTGGCATTTGATATTAATATAATGTCACAATAAAACATCTGTTTTACATTACCTGGGTACGATGATTCACGTAGTTAAATTATTGTTAATGTGCAGTTTTCTACTGTTATCCTGTGTGTTTTCAGTAGGTTACAAATAAGGTCTGCCTGCTTTTTCTTGAAAAGTGTTATTGGTGGTTCAGAGCTTTCCTATCCCATAGGAAGTATTGAAAGCCACAGTCGCCATTCTTTCCTAACATTTAGTCATTTCTTCCTCCTTCTAAAATTATCTTTAAAATCATACATGGGGTTTTCCCTCTGGTTTTTAGTAAAATTTTAATATAAAAGTGTTTTGTTTTCAGAAAAATGCTAATATAAATAGAAGTATTACAAATATGAATTACTATGTTTGTGAGAAGTTGTATTGTTCTATTGATACTATTTCTGTCCATGGCTTTTGCTGTTCCACACAATCAGATGTTTTTACACCTCCTTCTCACCTTCTGTTAAGAGGAGCTTTGCTGCTGTTCTCCTAAGTATTCTTTTTTTTTTCCATAATTCTCCACAAATATATATACTGGAATAATATTCTAGTTATCGTTATTGATTTTTTTTGCCAAATGAGGGTTCAAATAAAAGACTCCTCACCAGACCCGTGGGTTGCTGCTAAATATTTGGTACACCCCTACCAGCAAAATGTTTATCTGTTGTTAAGTATTAGTGTTTCCTGTTGTTATCTCCTAGTTCTCATTCCCAAGATTTTATCTGTTCTCACATGGTTGGAGATTTTTAGAGAAAATTTGGGTTGGTTTTTTTTTTTAAAAAAAAAAAAGATAAAGGTGCTTAAATTATTTCTAATGGGTATAGGAAGAATAGTCCCGCTGTCCCCCTGCAAATGAAACATTTTATCAATATCCCATACAGGCATTTGAAGCATCCAATAGAAAACTGAAGAGGTAAACATTTTCTAATAAACATTAACATTTTAGTAAATTTATATTAACTACCATACAGCTGTAAACATCCATGTTTGTTTTGAAATGTTTTCTTTTCTTTTTGGACAGTGAAGTAAAGTATCCTTAGTTTCTTTTCATAATCTCGATAGAGCCAAGAGGGAAAAGCAAGATTTTGTATATGGCTAGATTTTCATTATGGTTCTGCAAAGATGGAAAATTAATTGATGAGAGTGTAGGACAAGAGAAGAGAGGTCTGTTTACATTTTTGGATGAGTGAACAAATAGTACAAGTCATCAAGTAGTATCCAGGACTCATAGGATGAAAATCTCGCAGAAAACCTGACATTCAATATACTTTCACAGTTAGTTCATCATTAGCTGCAGATGCATTTATAAAGCAAGATAAATAGAGCGAAACATATTTTAAAATAGCCAAACCAGATCACATTATTATTTCTAGAAATAAATAATTAAAAAAAAAAAACCCAAGCAAATATTCATGTGGTAGCCTGCTTAATCATTCAGCCTGAAGTAGATGCACACTACAAACATTATCATCGTCTTTCCTAGTATGCGAAGATTTGGATCATTCTTACATATCAGCTTGAATTAGATCAGCCAGACAATTTTTAGTTGACTGTGTAGATCATTTTTGAACTTGCATAAGGAATTTGAGGAAAATTACCAACTATATAGAACTGAAATGCTTGGAAAGCAAAAAAGCAAATGAGAACCAACAGCAAACTGTTTGTGCTTGCAGGATGATATAGCAATAGAAAAGAAGGCTTGAACAGTATTGGGCCATCTACCCAAAGACATGAAGGAACATATGGTGATAGCTTCCTGCTACATAGTTACCTTAGGATATTTGGAACAAAAGAGAAGAAAGAAGTCTTAATATCTTAACAGCGAAATCTTGTCATTTGGGAAACTCTTTCAAATGTATTCACATCATAAGCTTGAGTTTTGTAACTAATCTTTCGAAGTATTTTAGAAGGAAAACTGCTGCTTCAAAATTGGATGCACTTACTGCCTATAGTCAGTATAGTTTCAACTTCCATGATTCTGGTTCTATCTCTTTTTATGACTTTAACATACATGAGAAGATAGACTCGAGTTGCTTAAAAAAAAAAAAATCCCCAAACAACAACAACAAAACCCACTTTGGATGCCTTAGAATAATTTCATAATACAAAAAATAGTAATTCTGCTTTAAATTTAAATTTTGATCCCTGTGTCACTGTACAAAAAGGAGAGGGGGGGGGAAAAAAAAACCTTTTACATCTTTTACATCCTGTACATCTGGATGACTGCATTGATGTCGTCAGATCTTAGGAAAGAACATGCAGCTCCAAAATTTACCACTGATCGTTCATCAGAAGTGTAGCAAATTGAATTCAGGATCCTGTTTTATAATGAACTAGTATTTTTATTAAAGTCATTTGATAAAATAGTAAATGATCTGAAGAAAGTGTTAAATTCAAAAGGCCAAGTTCCAAGTTGGACACTGAAGCAGGAATAATTGACTGCATGAATGCAGGATGGGAAGCACCTCACCAAGTAGTAGATCTATAGAAAAATAATTTGTCATTGGACTGGATCACAAAGTGAATGAGTCAAAAAATGTCATGTCACTGTAGAAGTAACTGTCTTCAATTTCATTTTAGTGGTTTAACTATACCTACATAAGATAAGAAGCAGAACTACAGGAACTCTTAATATTAGAGCATCATTATTTTCCCCAAAGTGTACAACTGAAGTACTTTTTTCAGTTGTTCCACTAACCCTCTCCTGAGTAAATAGCACAGTCTTTATGTAAATAAATATATATGTATGTGGAAAAGTGGATAAAATGGATCTGGATAAGTTTCAGTTCAGCTTTGCTGCTGTTTTAATGTTCCTCAGCTGAGACACGAGTTTGCTGTATACTAGACAATGTACAGTTTTTTAACTAAAGCCTTGTTTTACTGCTCAGGCTCCCTGGGTGTCACTAGCAACTCTTAAGATGAACTGAAATAGTATAAATTACTAATTTTCAATGTAAGATATAATATGTTGTTTTCTCTAGAAAACATCCAAAAAAATTGAGCTGACTTTTCTGATATATTTTTTTTTCAGATGTATGTGAATAATGCGGGATTATTTGGGAAGAAATTTCAGGCTTTTACAAATCTGTTGTCTCTTGGGTTTCTTTTGTTTTTTTGGTTTTTTTTATCACAGTTCAGATTGCTATAGTGTTTGGTGCCAAAGTTCTGGAACATGTCCTCAGCCTGTGCCGAGGTAACTACGACTTCCTGGAACGGCTTCCCGTCCCATTGCTCCTGTACATCATTTCCTTTCTGGAGCTTGAAGATATTGCCAGGCTTTCTCAAGTTTCACGCAGATTTGAAATGGTAAAAAAAAAAAAAAAAAAAAGAATTATTTTAAAATTGTTAGCTTTGCTGTGCAGCATGTTGGTTTTGATTCATCTCACATTTAATGTAAACATCAGTCTGTCTGCTTTACTTCAAGTCTGAGACAATAAATTAATCGTCTGTATTCAGTCAACTGAATGGGTGCAATAAAAATGAGATCTTAGAAAGGCTGTTAGAGAGACTGTGCTTATCCTGCAAACTGTTGTTGCATATAATAAACACAATGATCCAGATAATTCCATTGTAACCCATGGTTGGGTGTTATGCACTACTTCCAGGACTAAGTATTTGAAAGGTAAAACCTATGCTTCGTATTATGACTTGTATTATTGTAATGTCTAGAAACTTCAGCCACGGACCAGGATCCCCTTATGCTAGACTCATTAACAAACAAAAAATCATTGCCATTCCTAGAGAGCTTACATTTTAAGTCTTTGACAAAAGACAGGAGCACAAGGAGAGAGGGTTTTTTTCAATATTTTTGTAGACCTTGGAGCAAGGAACTGTAAGAAATGGAGGAGGAGAAGGAGATGACATTGTGCTTGCTTGCTAGGAAGCTCTTTCCAACTATCAGGGAAGTATGGGAAATAGTATGAACATGTTGAATTGAAACTTTAAAGAGTGAATAACAGAAGCTGCCACTATTGGCATTATATGAGCTAAGGGTAGCCTCTCAGCGATGAATGAGGGGTAACAAATAGGGAAGGATAGCCTGGAAGTCCGAGGAGAATAAGGGCAAATCTGTTGGTGCAAAAAGAGAAAAGTCATAGGATACCTGAGGCTGTGTTGGAAAGGCTCTTGAGAGGTCATCTATTCCAGCTTCCCGCTCTGCGCAGGGGCAGGTTACTGGAGGGACAGAACGGTTATGTTCAGAGCTGTGATCTAGGAAGCTTATTTTTGTGGGTCTGAATACCTCAAAATTGCATTTTCTATCCCAGTCAGAGCCTGAGAAAAGGCTGCTGCAGTAACTCAGGTAGGGTGAGAAAAGGGTTTTAGCTTATGAAAAATAGGAAGAGGAGCATATTATAGAGAAAAATAACTTGATTCTTATCCCCAGGGGTGCCGTAGGAGCCTAGAATGAAGGCTGTCAAGTTATGGGTTTTACAGGAAAGTAATGGTGAGACCTTAGGAAGAAGATAAAAACAGGTTTAGTCATCTTGAGTCTGATGTGACAGCTAGGTACTCTCTGAAAGACTTGAGAGAGACAGATTAACCTTTTAGTTTGGAGAACAGGACGCGTCTCTGGTACAGAGTACATCTCCAAATTGTATCAGGATGAGATTGCTCACAGGATTTGTACTATTTTGAGGCTATGTGGCCCAAGATTTCCAGAAAAGTTCTGTGGAAGACTGCTGACAGTTCAAGAGGACATGGCTGTACTGCTGTCCCTGTGGTGTGGCTACAAAGACATTACAGACGCTTTAGCGAGAGTGAGTTCAAGTGAGCACAAGAAATAGGAGATGGTACAAAGAAAGCACAGGAGAAAATGGCAAGGTAGCAAAATAGAGCATGTCATGAATTTAGAGATGAAGGGCAAATGGAAGCAGATAAGCTTGCTGAGTTCTGGGCTTTGTTTCAGTTTGAAGATAAAGCAGTTGATGTTGTGACTGGGAAACAATTGCTAGAGGATGAGCGAATAAAAACAACTACAGGAGAGGAAGAGAATGGATAGAAGGGAGGTCAGGAAATTATTTATTAGTATATTTGGAATCCATCTGTCATTTGCAGAGTGTGAGTGGAGTAGGATGAGGTACTATGGAGGGCAGTAAACTTTTCATTAGCTCAACACAAAGCATTGGATATTCTGGAATTTAAGAAAATCCTAGAAGGTATTAAGTTGCATAACAATAAAGATAAGATTTTGGCACAATGAGATAACCTATTATAACTAGTGATGCCATGCTCTCTTTCTCTCATTTCAGCAGTACTTTTAAGGAATTAAAAATTTGCCCCAATACTATGAGTTTTCATTTCCAGACTAATTTACGTGTAGGCTGGAATGCTGCTCTCTGTGGAATTATAAAATAGCATATTCAGATTTTCAAATAGGGAAAAATAGAACAGTCTCTGCACTCAGGAGTGAAAAGCGGCATGTGAAATGCTCCGTATGTCCATCCCGTGCAATGCATCCTCGTAGGCTGAACTAAACAGGTACCTTTATTTGTTACCCAAAGCATGGCATTTCTCTGACTCTGTCGTTCTGAGCGTAAATCCTGCTCTCCAGAGTATTCAGGTGCTTTCAGTATGCGTTTCAAAGTATTTTAGATTTTCGCTAGGGACTATTTTTAAGTATTGTAAAAGAAGCTCCATCTCAAAAGAAACAATGTACAGAAGTCCTACTGTGGCCGCCACCCTTGGAGCGCTGTGGGAGTTTCCCAAATACTCTTTCAGCAGACTTCGATACTGTGCTGCCTCCCAGCACAAGCTCAGGATGGGATTCGTTTGTTTTGTACAAGGTCTTTCGATAGCCAAAAAAACAGGCAAAATTAAACTGCAGAGAGCAAAATAGCGCTGCCTGGGAGCTGGAGGAGCTGCTCCCGCCAGAGGGAGCCCGGTCCCGGGGCGGAGGCAGCCCGGTCCCCGGGGCGGAGGCAGCCCGGTCCCGGGGCAGAGGGAGCCCGGTCCCGGGGCGGGGGCAGCAGGCGCTGCATCCTCGGGGACGGGAGGGAAGGTCTGGATGTTGTTACGCCGTTGGGAAGCCACTGGCACGGAAAGCAAGCCACGATAATGACAGCGGTTATCTTTTTTCTTTCTGTATTTTTTTTTAATAGAACACTGTATTTGGAAATACAAATATATGATACTACAAACCAGTCTCCGCTATTTTTAACTTAACGGTGTCCATTTTTCATAGGAACAGCAGAATGGTTAGAGACAGAGAGCAAGCAGAAATCTAAAGAAAACCTTAAAAATGCATATATTTTCATTTCAGAACTTCTGCAGCAATTTTTGCCCAATAATCCCTGCTTTTCCTTTGCTAAAATATGCGAGCATGCGTGTGCCTGCAGTATGACCGCTCTCACAATTCAAGAACAGAAACAGGACCACACATACTCTGACACAGCTGGGCTGTAGTCAGTGAATTAAATACTGTAAGGTATCCAGCTACATCAGCAGTTTGTAACAGACGTTATTCCAGGACTTTTGCTTTTCTATTTCTGTTGCTACTTGTGACAGACGCACCAGCCACTTGGATTGGAGCGATCTAGTACAGCTCCACTTCGGTCCCTGCAATGACACGTTTAGAAAAGCGGAGCGTTTGGAAGAAGAATCAATGTTACTGTGCTCCGGTATAACTTCCAGTGGGCAGATAATAGACACTGACACCGACTATCTTCCTAATTCTTTTTTGTGGTGATTCTGTCATCTAACAAATTACACATTTTTTTTTCCTGTTTATAATATAATATTTCCACCCAATTCTGTTTATGGAGTCATTCTGAAAGAGGGAAGCATCTCCTGAGAAACAGGCTTAATCCCTGCAGTGCTTCTGAAAGCTTCCCAAAATTGTATTTCTGTTGTAAGGCCAAAGGCAATTTGCTTCTTTTACTTACCTTGAAAACAGATTAGTATTTGTGACGTGATTTCTACATCCTGACAAGTTCTTTGGCAGAATCTTACACAGCTTCATTGATTTCAGTGCAGCTGTATGAATTACATACCGGGAAAGTATGTGGCGTGACAGCTGCTACGAGTGTGGCAGGAAGGCCTCTGGTATCATACCAAATGAAACTCCTCAAATTTTTCACAGAAGAACACGCAGTATCTTGCGTTGGCGACACTGGGCAAAACTTCCACTGATGTATTGTGTGTTTTAACTAATACTGCGTCTTTCAAGATAGGTGGGCAGCTTGCGCTGCAAGTGACCTTCATACAAGGCATCTGTGTTGTCTAAACACATTTTGTGTAGTAAAATAACCAGCAATGAATAAGCCAAATTACGATTTTAAGCCTCTGCTTTCTCTCACAACTAGATATGTAACAGTAATGCGCTATGGGAGAATATTGTGGAGAACTTGTGTGACACAATTACACCTGAAATGAAGGAACTCGCGCAGGAAATGGGCTGGAAACAATTCTTCTTCACGAACAGGATTCAGCTACAGCTGCAGCTCCGAAGGAGGCGGCAGAAACGAGATGCTCGGAACAAAAAACTAACTGAATAAAGACGCGTTTTTCATTGGAGCAAATGTTAAAAGGCGTGGATGCGCTGTTTATCAGGTCAGGCACCCTGACTTTTCTGCTTTACTAGGGAAAGGAGATTACTTTAAGGACTGAAAGAGGAAAAACAAAATATGTCTTACTCAGAGCAACATGTAAATAATGCAAAGTTTAAAATGTTGGGCGTGCTGAAACTGTATTACAGTCAGCATTGTAACAGTCACTAGCAATGAAAGAGGTTGTGGCTTCTTTGTACTTCTTTGTTCTGACTTCTCTGTTTTGTATATATGCTATACATGCCCCATGTCTTATATCAGATGCTATGGCAGTGTCATCGTTTCTTTATAGAAAACCATCTCACATTTCTTACTACAAAAATTGCTGATGAATGCTGAGGCTTTTACTGTCCACCATGGTAAATCTGCAATGTTTATAGGCAAGTCACATGTAGCTGGTTCCAGAGTTTGATGTGTGTTAAAATGTTTTTAAATTAATCATCTAAACTTCAAGCACATAATAATTTTGTCATCAAGAAGAAACTTCTTCGGTGACTGAGGGTGTGGATCAAATGATCGTCCTCCTCTTGCACACTCCATCAAAACCATGCTTGAGGCACTCTGCCAGAATGGTATACGGGCAAAATTTTTCCTTCGCGTTGCTGATGCAGGAACTTCTGAAAGGAATTGACTTCCATTGCTCGAGTTGCATATTTGATAAGAGACATTTGCTGTCTTGAAAGACTGTAACAATGGTTACCTAAGAGTGTTGCAAAATGAAGGCAGTTCTTACTAACATTACTTACTCCAACAATCAGCTTCAGTAATTAAGAGGCCAAATATTATTACTCTGAAAGTACCAGTTGATTAATATATCATTTGCCATTGACTACACTTAAGACCCGAGTATTAAAACCAGTGATTGCAGTACTTGGGTATAATAGTGTAATATTTGAAGAGTGTATTAGGTTTACCATTTTTTAACATGTCGACTATTAAACTTGAACTTTATAAATGGATTAAAAACTATGAATACAAGGTTCTTATATCATGCTATTTCTTTATAAAGCAGTATTTTAATTCTTAAAAGATATTTGCTAATTTAGATTAAGACTACAACTATATACCAGTAGTCTTGAAGCATTTGGTGATTGTGGATCTTTAGATGAAGAAACACTTAAGTATATTCTTTCCTCTTTGTGACTATTTCCTTTTAGGACAATGACAAAAAATTCACAATATGCATAAAATACTGTATTCATAAAACTTCTGTCCTGTGTAATAAAAACCTATAACATGTAATTTTGCTTTAGAGAGATGATTTTAAGAACTACAGTATGTGAGCAGGGCTACTAAACAACAGACCCTCTTTTCTCACTTTCTGTCAATTTACCACAATGAATTTTTTCCTTAGCTTGTGCTCTCGTAACAGATTTAGGCAGTTTCAGGTTCGGGAACCAGAACCTATGCTAGCCAATACGGACTACGTGAATATTAATTTAAAATCCTAATTTAACTCGATTTTGTCAGCCCACCTTCCCTTCTCCTTCATCAACCATGTACCTGTCCCTTCGTTACGAGAAATAAGAACAGTCATTTTGCAGGAGAATCTTCATTTTTAAGCTTAAAAAAATGAACTTAGTAAATGAACAGAAAGTGAAATTTTGGGTAATGTAAGTTTATTCCCATCACATGGCCCAGTAAGGACTTCTATAGAAAGATATACTGCAGATATCATAAGTGAGCATATTATTCATTACAGTAATACACAAATAAAGTTGAATTTGACAAAAGATGAAGTGAAGATCTAAGTATAAAGGGTACATATCTTTCAAAATGAAAAAAAAGGCAACCGAGGGAAATCAACACTTCAATATATACATATTTCACCAATGAAAGATAGTTCAGTTAAAATAAGCTAGCAGCAGCATTCACAACAAGAAGACATTAAACCTGTAACAAAAGAACTGATGTGAAAGTGTAGTTTACGTGAACATTTTCTCCAACAAAAAAGCTGATTTTAAAAAATTACTGACTGCGTGTTCACACCATGTGTTGCAGTTCACTGCCACCTCAGTTGTTTTAATATGAATTTTAAAGGCCATACATAACTACCCTATATGAATGATCTAAATCTTGAAGTAGTTTGAGGTTTTCTTCAGGTTTTCTTTTTTAACTTGACTCATTTCAGTGATCTATTTTAAAGTATGTCCCTGCCAACAGTTGTAGAAGCGTGAAACTAAGAAGTTGATGAATTGCAATATAGAACAATACAAGCTGGTTTTTCTTAACCAACCTTGCAGCTATAAAAAGGATCTATATAATGATGTTGTTGCATACTGAACTGTTTCCCAATATTTGTTCAATATAATTGAATAGTATCAATTGTTTTTAAAGAATGCCAGCAGCATGTATCAGCATTAAAGAACCTGATTTGATATGAAAAACTTTCATAAAGCTAGCAGGGAAAAAACATACAGTGACTTTTATTTGATATAGGAAAATTAACATCAGACTCACCTCTCAAAGCTGAAAAAATTATGTCTTGTACCACCATACAGGACATTCTGCATTGATTACCAGGCGCTTAATGTTGTTTAAGAAAATGTATTTGAATATTTTAAATGGTCTTTAGCTCTTTCATGCTTTGCATTATCTAATTTTCTAGTGAATAAACATCTCAAACGTGACTGGTCTTAGTTCATGGTGTACACTATGAGCAGCAGCATGGCTGATCATAATGTAACAGGTTTTGTTATTAAATTAATTGTAACAAAATTTAGTGTGCTGTAGTCCCCTTCTTTCTAAAACTATATTTGGCCAATTTTGCCCAAGTCTGTTTCTTTAGTACTGTTTACCTGACAAACAAGTCCCATGGGAGGAGTCAGTGGCAAGGTTACAAAGTTCTACAATACCTCTAATTAGGTAAAGCAGCCAGAAACTTCACGCTGTTTCTGGAAACATTTTCCAGTTTGTCAGTAACAATAATGTTTTCCATATGTTGCCTGTTTTTGCTTTTATGTTTGTTTTACTTCAGGTGCATTAAATGTCACAGCATTTATAATGCAGCCTATGTATTGAGGATGGCTACTTTATTATACAGTTGATACTTTAAAAAAATAAAAAATCCTTGAAGTAGAGAGTCGTTTCAGAAAAATGTAAGAACTTTTCTTCAGTTCTGCATCACAGAAATGGTAATTTTAATACACTGAATTAACTGAATTATTGTGCTAGCATTTCAACACTACCTGACTAGCCAGGTAAGAAATACAATCATTTTCTCATCCTCAGTAACTAATCTTTTATCAGACAGAATACATAGTAGGAAGGACTTTTATGAATCATTCATATCCTGACCAAATTCTCTTGTAGTACTAGTGTAAATCAGGAGTAACTGCACTGCAGTCAATGGAGTTTCACCAACGGTTAGTGGTGAAAAGTTAAAAGAGAAGCAAGGGTAAAGGCTCCTAGCATTGTTCCAACTTTAAAAGACTGGCAGGGTGCTTTTAATCAGTGTATTTGTTAGTTCTAAAGCAAAAGATCTTAACTCATTTTAAAAGCATATTTCTAATAATTTATTAGCATTTTGGAGCACATTTGCTTTTCACTTAAGTACAGCTGAATGTGGTTGGTTCCATAAGAAAACCAGTTTCATACTGTCATACAATAGAAACATGAAAGCAAAAAATTTCTGTAAAAAAACTTCTGGAATTTGTTCTATACTTGTGCCTCTTCTGTAGATTTTTCTCCTGGTTGTTTCTTTTGAATACAAGGTTGTATAAGTAAAAATATTATTCCCACCATGTACAGCAAGCCAGATATGTAAAAAGAAAAATCGTATTTCTGTGTGATGTCATAGATCCAACCTGCAAAATAAGGACAAAACACAGTTGTTACAAAGCTTGACAACAAGATACATTCCAAGGGAAAATATGAAAAATACTGCAAATCTCTTAGGACATTTCAGTCAAATCCATAGATGTTTTGTGGAAAAAAAGAGGTGGTGATTGTCTCCTCCTCTAGATGCTACAAATGGAAATGTATTAACAAAATTTCTTGTTCATTCACCAAACCCCAAAACTAGTGCAAAACCTATCCCCTCATTTAAGTATCATGGAAGTCTGAGACTCTAGCTATGTGCCATCCTAAGAAGCCAAGCAACTTTCTCTCTAAAACTCCACATTTTCCAAATAAGTTATCACAGGTCTGACTTTAAAACAGACATTTTGGAATCCCCAACCAATTAGTTCTTCCACCCTACTATTTTCTTTGTAAAATGCCCGAAATGCAGGCTAGTTCAAATGCTGTGCCTTGTGCAAGCAAACACATTCCCAATAGCTTTCTCAGAGACTCACATACCGATAAAAGACTTGTCAAGAGATACAATCTCAGTACTGCAATGACTCTAGTTCCAACCTTAATTCCTTTGCAAAAATACATTAAAGTTACTTCAGAGAGGTTCGAGAACCCAAAATACCAAGATTCCCTCATGTCATGCTGGCTGCATTGCGATGTAACCTCAAGATCAGAAGCTTTTTTTACATCAACTAAGTGCATCCCACTTGCTTCGTTACTAATGACCAAATACAAAGACACGTTCAGCACAGACTGAGAGGTGCTGGAAGAATATACGGTAGTGTAAAACACTGCTGCTTGTCAAAGGGCACTAGATGAGCCTTCTCCCAAATCGTGTTGGCTCACTCAATGGTGGGGAGAGAAGGTGACAGCATTCTCGCTTTTCTGAGTTGGTTGTGCTGCTAATAGCTTCAGTTCAGCCTAGTGCCATCCCTGGCTGACCACAGCCATTACTCGCAAGGTTTCTTACTGCTTTCTTCTGATTTGCGTACCTGTAAAAGATACCCGCGGTCTGGCTATAGTATTGACGATCAGTACCTATCTCTCTCCTGTACTTCCCTGCCTCTTTCTATGAGAAAATTTATAATGAAAGTTTGTTTAAACCGAAGTAACTTTAGGGATAACATACATACATGTCTACCTTCTGCTGTGGA